CATTCACACATTGTAATATATAACCGCAGCAATTAAAGTGTTCATATTTGATCTAATATCAAAGTTCAACCTTTAAACTCCAAACGATATAATTTTTTACATAAAACTTAGTCAATTTCCTCCTGAACGAGTTAAAATGATGAGCACACCTGAAAATAACTTATCTAACTGGGTTATACCAAAAAATACATTTACATCTTCACTCTTGGCTTACTAAAACCATTCATTTACCACAAAGTTTCGTAGTACCAGACCATTAAACATATAACAGATATCATTTATATCTAAAACATAGTCTAATGGTTTTGCTTCAACCAGTCATTAGTTAAATTTAACATAGGAACTGACATGATATGTATCAACTTGACTTGTCACAATTTATGTTAGCAAAGCTAGAAGGAAGATTAATAAGACGAGAAATAGTTGAAGAGAAATAACATAAATTGATATGGAAAGTTAAACATTGGATTATATTTTAGAGGAAACTGTTCTATTAGAATGACTATTTTAGTTTTATTATTATAAACTGAATAATTTTGTACGTTTCTATTTACAAAAAGTGTTATTTTATACTTATTTCACTTTTTGAAACTTTTCTGTTGTTGCCTTCATACTAACTGAATTTATCAACATCGTCAGCCTGTTGCTAAACAAAAAAATTCCTTTTTGATGCGCTTCATATTAAGCATTATGAAATTTTATACTTCATTAGAAAATAATAATTTGCACCGAGTGTCATGAATACGGTTTTCTAACTATTTGATTCAATTACTTCATTTTTTGTTAGTGACAACTTGCCAAATGTACCACGAACTCGGGTACTACATTATCAAAGTTTCGATGCTAATTCACCTATTGAAACAGTATTCTGTGAACCTGAATATGTTCTTGGTTTTAAGTCAAATGTTGGTGGACAACTACATTCTTGGATCCGTTTAAAGGAACCACCTTGTAAGTTGTTAACATTTATTAAGCTATTTTCTACTTTTATTTTCCGTATGTAATGCTCACCGTTTTCAAAGACTACAAATCTTCCTTGATTTACGACAATGAGGAGAATAACTCGCTGATTCAAGTGAATAATAGATTAAGCATAACAGGTCGTGTGACCATTTAAAACCTTTCTGTTATATCATTACTTTTCTCAGTGCTCGAATTGTCTACCTCACAAGTGAGCCGGTTGCAGTTTTAACAAAGTTTAGGAATTCCTGGAAACGTCCTTATGCTCTTTTGTTTAAAATGTTCTTTTATTAATCAAATACTGCTGCTGGTCAACTGGATAAACAAGTACAGAACCAATAATACATAATGTTTCCCTATGTAGTACTAAGTACTTTGTCTGTTTATATTATCACATAATGCTCGTGGCATTTCTAAGTCAATTGAGCGAAGTAAATTTCCAGATAATCGACACTTCATTTCACAGTGGAACCCATGCCCCTCTAAGCTACTCTATTACCATTCTTTCTTAACCTACTATTCTTACAGAAAAAGAACAATGTATGGGATTATAATTATATTTGTGAGTTTATTGAAATCACAAGATTTATGTTTGCTTCAATCGTCTTCAAGAACTATAGTAGTTTGACATCGGTCTACAGCAAGTGTCAGTAAGGTTATTCAGTTTGTCTTATTGTCCTACGTGAGGTAAATAGATTTTCATTTTTTTCCTATCCTGTGATTTATTCAGGTCATTTTTCACTTGAAATACTATAGCTGATAATATGGAGATATCACTTAATCATACAAATAATAATTTGTTATGTTAGGCTGAACCAACTATTCATCTTAATGATTCAGGCGATTTTCTACTGTCTTTTTCATGAAATATCATTGCATTCTAGTTGGGTAGATGAAAAGTGTAAATAATCCTGTTGGTTGAAATTTGTTTGGTAGCTAATCATTCAGAAATAATATTGTTTCACTCGTTTATTATTCTAAGAGCATTATAAATATTTTTGGTGTGCTGTATTACTAAGATGAGAAGTGAGTGAACTAGACCGCTAAATTTTCCTTCGGTTATTGATATTTTTCAGCGAACTTAACACGTTAATATCCTACCATGTTAGGAGTATGTGGTCAATACAATCACTATTTCTTAGAGCACTTACACTTACATTGTCTAGGAGAATTATCAAATATATAATAGTTTACTGGGTCTATGTGAATGGTCCAGAAGTCTTGCTACTTTAAAAAAATCTATTTGTTTGTTTTCCGTTTTCTAGCCGCCTCTCTACATTCTTATCGTGATGCCTTCCTAGCGTATTTATCGGATGCTTTTTTGTTATGGGTCGCTCTTACTGAACCACATCATGTTTTATACTTGGTCACACTAAATCAAAGCATATGGTTTCACAATCCCGAAGTAGAAATTAAGCCAGACGAATGGATTTTGATTGGAACAAGAGCAAATTACGTAGGTTCGTCAGCTATTGCAGATTATCAGTTTTGGAACAGTGTTTAGGCGAAAATCATTACTTTTTTGTTTACCAATAATCCTATTTTTAAAGTCATTTTCAGTAACGACATTAGAGTTCAAAAGACAATATAGTAAAATACTGTAACTGAACTAGATTTTGATTAGACAGTTTTCCATGTTACAGAATCTCAACAGCACAGTAGTGTGAACTAGTTTTAAATTTGCTACGAAATCATTTGATTTTGAGCGATCACTACAATCATTCTAGATTTTGCTATTTTCATTAATGTTTAGTATCGTCTTATAAACATGAGGATATGGTTTATTCTGTTCATCTGCCAAGATTTTATATCATTTAATTAGAAAACAAATTGTGCATCTTGAATTGTTGAAGTCACGTGAACTACATGCAATCATTTATTATAGTATGCAAAAAATTGTAGGTACGGTGTAACAATCCATCTATATAAAGAACTGGGTTAACAGAAAACCACTGCCTAATTGTGATTATTGATTCGATCTCATATAGGAGTGTTTATAAAAGCTGGCAACTCATGAATTATATTAATGTATAACCTTTCACAGTATTTTTTCTGAAAATTCTGTGATTTACTTAACTTTATGTTAGGAAATCTTCTAGGTCTTTAGTCTGCTCAAGTTTGTAAAACATTTTGTTAACCTTCTTTGATGGACATTCAGGATTGCTATCTAACCATCTAAATTAAAACCCTGTTTTTTGGTGTGCAGGTGGCGCTTTGACACTTTCATATGGAGACATTTGGAACAGAGAAGGCTGTCTCCTGGCAAGCATGGCTCAACAAGGCTTGGTGCGGACCCAACAAATGACACCAGTCTCATCCTATACATCAATGAGTGAACTAGCAGAACAAGCCGAGAAATAATCTTACATCCATATAGGCACCTGACTTCAAATTTTATTATCTTTTTGTATATCTTAATTCCTGTCATGGACATATATATCTATGCAACATTCCTTAGCACACAAAGAAGTCTCTTGATATTATGTTCTGGCTATATCGTACTTTTTAACTATAGTTGTGATATCGGTGCTGTGATTCTCTGATTAATATGTTTGCAGTATTTCCCTCATAATTGTTATTCACTACTAAATTACAACGAATTGAATGTCCTTTTAATATCTTCCTCATAAAAGCTCACAGGCTGTTCCACTTCAACAGTGAAGTGACTTTCGGTTAGATTATTGATTAAGACTATTCACACTAAGTGCTTTTTCTAACCTTCTGTTCAGTTTTTACTAAAGTGAATTGAGCAAGCAGTATCCTTCTTTGATAGGTGGATGAAAAGTGAAGTTACTAGCCTTAACTTCAAATTTATATAAGTTCTTCCATATTAATGTTAGTCACGAAAATCATTGACACATATCCTTATGCAAAAATTCAAACCAATATACATAAGGAAACATGGTGGTTAGCGGTGGGATCTAGGACAAGTGTTTCGTCCTATTTGGGACTCACCGGCTGGATGTACATGCATCCTAGAGTTGTTGTTCACTCCGGGACTGGAACCTAGTACCGTTCGTTTCAAATGCCATCAAGTTATCCACTTAGCTACTGAGTCCTGATAGCTACTTGTTTGTGCAATGAGGTGAAGTTTAAATTCACTTGGTATTGTTTGCTTGAATCTTCCCATTGATCAGTGGCAGTCCTAAACATCAATCAGAAGATTCGAGCAAACGATAGCAAGTGAACAAATATACGTCGCTCAGTTCAAAGCACGAGGTGAAATCCGGTTGGTATCCAGAAGCTAGGATCGATGAGACACTATCTTATCACATATTAGCAATAAATTGCAAACATCTAGTGAAATATTTTTTATGCATGCAAAACCTATTGATCGGATATAATTCTATAGTCTTGTTTTCTCAAAATGCGGTCAGCCGATAATGGTGTGGTAACTAGGATGATTATTTGGATTCATACCAACTTGTAAACTTTTGTACAATAAGGCTATACATCTTCCGATGTTTTTTTACAAACTCAGTTCTCTATTACCGTAGCACCTAAATTATTGTTTGGATTCAAGTATTGATCGAAAATATATTGTTCTGACTTTTAAGTTGATCTTCTTACACCATGTTCGCGTTGTAATATACGGAAGGAATGCATATCCGTACTATCAGTCTTAATAAGATCTAATAAATGTAAACTGGCAATCTTGATTTCCCAGTTGTGTATTTGATACGAACGCGACCCCGATCTCGTTCGACCTGATCATCTAGATACACAACCAAACACTATCTATCCCTCTTCATAAACTTAGAGTAGTTCCATGAATCGAAATTAAGTCATTCCACTTCACGAAAACGTGAACATGTAACTCTGCCCCTGAATGGAGTTCACCAAATCGGCAGTTATTTCTTTTATACGAAACTTGGATCGTAATCCAAAATTCGATTCAAATCCCTACTTTTTTTTTAACAAGTTTTGGTAGATTAACGCTCTTTCAATTTTCTTATTCTCCAATAGATTATGTAGCGAGACTTCTTCACATTTTCAACTCTGCTAAGTACTTAAAAAGAAGCAGAACATACCACTTTACTTGTTCATCAAAGATTTGATTGATAAGAAGTCCTATGAAACAAACACCTAAGTAATCCTCTATAGTAATTTTTGCTTCTTTTACATTCAGTCTAAGTAGCCTAGTATCCAAGACTAGGTGTTCAATTACGAAATAAGAATTGCACCTTTTTCACACGATCCAAAAAGCGCAACTTGTGTTCATTGAGTCCCATAGTTCATATCCCCAACATTGATGATATCGGAACGCGGCGACCAAATGACAACTTTGTGTAGCATTTGACAGCTTCACTTAACCCCTAAAAGGTGACTGGAACGTATTAACTCGTAGGTGCTTCGCTTATTGTGTGTTTTGAAACTACCGAATAAGGTGAAGAGTAGAATCTGAAAAAAATGAAGAACGGACCCGTTGGTGATGTGAATTCTCGTAAACACGAGAAAAACATCAGCGATAGGGCGAATGGTCGCATAAGATACATAGCCGGGGTTATCTAGATTCTAAAAATCAGGAAATGGGAACAGATTGACGTGGCCCAAAACTAGCCACCATATAGTACATAAATGTCTGTAGTGTCGGTTGCTATTTTTAAGCCCACTAACTCATTCTAGCTTCCGAACAAGCCGATCTACTCACCTTTCTTGAGTCACATTCTGACCTTATTAATTATTCGCTTATCAAGCTTGACTGTCTTTATATATTTGTTTGAACACATAAATATTGGTACAAGAAGGCATAAAATAGATATGCGCCATATAAATCATTCGATTTGTGAGTGCTGGGATAATGACCGGATGCACAGACCGAAGCAGGTGGTTTTCTTCGGGGACCATACTCCGAGACTTCGACCTAAAGATCTGATCCACAAGACAATGGAACAACGGCACGGAATGCAGACCCATGGTAGCTGGTGACCAACGATTGATTCATACGCCATTTGTTACTTCAAGATACTGGAGCCCATGTGCACCACTGGTTTGGAATCAGGGTTTTCCAACCCCCCTATGTGAACTCTCCGTATCCACCAGCCCGCCTAAAGCGCCTGACATTCGATTTTCATCCTCAGTTTCGTAAACAGCACCACTGGTGCGAGCGGGCAGTGAGTAGAACTTCTCTGGCTGTATATGCTTGGCCATGTGCATGGAATTGGAAAGGGAGAGTTAACTCTACCCACCCTTGGCCGTACCAGCGCATTAATCTTTTTATAACTGAAATATAAGGCACTCATTTCATTCAAGTGATCTTAGGTTCTACGTATATCGACTTAATCCACTTTAGTGAATAACAGAATTAAATAAGTCAAATACGAAAATACATTTCGAATACATATATTTCATACAATTGTCGATCCAGACAAATTGTCGGAGAAACGAAGTGGAGAGAAAAGAATGAAGTGAAATGACGTGCAGTGTAGAAGGCATGTGAACCAAATCAATTTAATCAAGCGTTAATGAACATTTATAGCCTAACAAAAATAAGTTACAGGCTTCTCATGAGTAGGTACCTCCTCCAGAGGATAAAAAGTGTACACACACATACGATCATATAAAAACAGTCAGGGTTGATAAGTGAGTGATCAACAAGGTAAAAACGTGACTCAAGAAGAATGGATTAATTGGCTTGTTCAGAAGCTATAATTTCGTAAACAACGCCCCTGCCACGAGAAGGCAGTAAATACGACTTCCCTGGCAGTGGTTGTATGCACGTGGTCATGTAAGAGCATTTCGAGATGGAAAGCTGACCCCCACTCCCGGCCGTACCGGGGCATTTGGGGGGAGTGTATGTGTGCATTTCTTATCTTACTCGTCACATGTCTGTGTGGCCATAAATATCGAATAACGCTTGATTAAATCGAGTTAGCTCACACGCCTTCTCCACCGCGCATCATTTCGCTTTGTTTTCTTCCCTTCGCTTCGTACCTCTGATTGTCCGTTTAGATCAATGACTGTAGGAAATATACGTATTCAAAAACCCACTTTCGTATTCAGCTTATTTGATTCCGTTATTCACCAATACGATTCAAGTCGATGAGTATATACGAGGATTGGCGATGTATATATTTCGACGGCAATCAATCGTACGATCCACTTGGGGTCAGATATCGGGCCACTAAATATCTCACTTTTCCTCTTAGGACTCATATCCCTCTGTAATACTAAACTATTCCGGTTTATTTTAATTTAAATTAATGTTAATAAGATTTTTTTGTGCAAGGTTTTGTAAGCTTCAAAATAAATAAGCTTGTAGAGAAATATGAATATTTCAAAGCACAGTACATCTATTTACATAAAAGATCACAATATATTTATGTCGAAATATTTTTTTCCGCTTTTGCACACTACATCTGTAACTTCATGGGATATTTGTTTAGATTCTACAAATATTGCTTTTCGCAAATCCATCTTTATGAATAATTCATAGAAAAATGTTGTCTTACCAAAAAACTGTTTAGTGTTTCTGTTGAATACTTCTTACGAACATCCCCATTACACCACAAAAAACTCATATGGAATTTAGGATTCTGAAGAATGATAGGGAAATTGATTGTCCTACTTCATAATACTTTGGCCCTCTAAACGCAGTGACACATGAATCAACATAATTGAGTAGAGATATCAGTGCTATACGTGACTCTTCAGAAGTTACTAAAGTGAAAAAGGATCTACAGATTATAAGCAGTAGAAAATGAGTACCGTGTGTTTTCTTCATTTACAAGAACTTCTACGTCATCAAGCGCAATCCAGAACCTAAAATCACTTAAATATGCACGAAGTATTCTTACTTTCCAAAAGAGCTTACAGCAGAACGAAGATTACAAACGAGATTTTCAATCCAATGAAAATAAATAGGCCATGTCTTCGACAAACTTATGTGAGGAGAATCCACAGTATAACAATCACCCATTACAGGATTTGATTGAACTACGGGGTCTTTGATCGCCTCAAGTATTCTAGAATGCAAATGAGAACCTTGGTACAATACAAGACGTTGTTGTGATTACATGCAATATACACGGAAGTGGCCCAACTCCCAGGTTCATGAGGAAAAGTTCTACTACGAAAATCATGCTTCGAAGGATCATCTTCACGAACAAAAAAACGAAAGGAATCAGAATTAAAATCTTGAAGTATTGTAGGCAGCTCCAGTTTTTCAGTTTTTTCTTCATCACTAGATGAATATTCAACCAATTGTGTGTTCATACTACATTGAAGTCGTAAAGAACATACGCAAGTTAGGTGTATTTAATTAAATGGTGAATTGCACACAGTCACATTCACTAAAACAAGATGGCAAACAAATGATAAATAATGGAGACAAAAATACAGGGAATAAAGGATATATAATGCCATCCACAAATACATGCAGATGTGCACGTTAATCGCTAAATTAACATCAATAGTTGATGCAGTAGGCCAATGAGAATTCTAATTTACTAATTTCTAGTGCAAACATCATTTACACTACATTTTCACTTGAGCCAAAGTAGGTTGAGTTTATATGAATCAACAACTAAGTATAGTAAGATTGCAAAATCGCAGTTTCACACTTATGTTCTCACAATAAAACCACATTATTTGACTACCACTAGTGAAGTTCAATGATATAGCTATTCTCTTCAAATTGTTGTGGAACGAATAGAAGATTTCGTTTAACGAGGTCCCGTATCTAGTAGCCGTCGATCATTGACACTTCCAAATAGGAACCTAGGTATACTTACAAAACAAAAGAGAAGTATTAGTTATGAAAAAAATATTATCCTGAGTCCCTAAGAATACGTTAAGGTTCCTCTTGATGGACCCCCTAGAAGTCGCTTTGACCACCTGTCGGTATTAAAATCCAGGATTCGACTAATCACACAGATTAAAAGGTAGCCGTACAGTCCATTCTCCTATGTTACATCTTCTGAATGTTACACTTAAAGCTTGTGTTTTGACTGAGCTTAAGTAGGTTAGGGGATGCTCAGCAGTAATTAAGATGTTATAGGTCACTAGGCCACTTGTGAGACGCCTATACCCTGACAGGTAAAAATTAAGTGGTTTGAAGTGCTCTTCATAAGGTTTGAATTTGAGTCCCCGAACTGATTTCGTGGCTCTACTTTGGATACGCTTTAGTGCATTCTTATCCTTTTGGAGTGAGAGAGGAAACACTATGTTCCTATAGTATGAGTGAGGCCAATTAAAAGTGTTGCACCTTCAAATTCGCCTAAAATGCTTGTCCGTGGTGTGATCGTAAGGCACTTTTGTCGTAGTTAGGGTAAGACTTGAGGGTGAACATCCCAGTCCACCTGCCGTAGATTGCTCAAACACCTGTTGTTGGTAGAATGTTTTAGCTCAGTATCGCTAATAAAACTGAGTCATGACGACGTAACCACTCCCCCTTATGACGGCCAGGATTAGGAAATCTCTGAACTAAAACTAACCACGTAAATCTAAGAAAGCAAATTGAGCCAAAACTACAGTTAGCTGCTGATTCGGACAAAACTCGAAGGAAATAAGTTACGGATCGTTAGGCAGAAAACAGATCTTTTGGGGTCGAAAATAGTACTTTTGTTGCGTAAAGAATTAAAAACCACGTGAGGATCACACTTCCTGTTCACAAAGCGCGCGGATTTGCTTAGTTCTTACTGTCAATTGAAAGCATTATTCCACATGTTTTGTTTCCTTATAGCTGTGCTGATGAGAAGTGTAACAACTCTGATCACAACCCGTCTCCGTGTAAACTTAAAACTTACTGAAGGCCGTTTTTGTAGTTCCGCCAAATACTTTAGGATTGAAATCAGGCGACTGAAATGGTAATAGATAGAACAGAAAACTCTTTTACTTGATGTGCTACCATGTCTGGACAAATTATATCAAAGTGGAGACACATATGTTTTTGCAAAAACGAGTTCTTCGGCGTTTTGAGGCATTTCACATACGTTGCTTGTATCATACTAGGAGCTTAGATTTAAACTCAGATTTGACGGTTCAAGCAATATTTAGGTTTCTACTGTAGGCCTTTACAGCTGACGTTTTGTTTTTCGTTTATAATTATTCGATCGCACTCACCGTTTTCTGTTCTTTTTCTTAGAGTTGGATGTATTGCCTTAACATGTCTTATCTTTTGCTTCCGTCTAGAACCGATCATTTGAGAGGACATTCGAAGAAAGTTCAAAGACCGAGATCAAACCGTTTGCGTCTGGAGTTCCGTTTCTCGCACCGAGTAGTGAATTACTGGAATTCTCTACCGGAACACGTAATATCAGCACCGTCTGTTAATATATTCAAAACGAGATTGGACCTCCACAGTATTACAAAATGCAAGGATTAATATAGGTCGACAGACCTCCTATCCTTATTACTGAAGACTGAAGACTGAACTATCACCAGTTAATGTTAGTTATCGGTACATTTTCGTAGTTATGGTAGTTGCTACACTTATTGGAAATTGTTTAGAAACCAAACAGGTTATCGTGTGCAAGTCAGCTTTGCTCTTATTCCTAAAATAGCAATTTCAAAGCAAATTGACAAAAATGGACATCACATTGCTAGGACTAACACAGGCCATCAAACCTCGTGTCCATTCCAACCCAAAACTGATGTTAAACAATTCACGTAACATTTACAACTGGAACACTCATATACGACCAGACCAGTTACCCGAAAATTAATTGAGGTGAAAGAGCGGTCTTACTGATCGAAACGGCGAGACAAATCGTAGTATTTTTAGGTAGTGAGGATTCGGATGTCAGTAGCTCTATGATATGTATGGGTAGCGCTGGTGATAATTTCGGTCATCACTCTCCAGTAATAAGAATGATAGGTTGGTGGACTTATGTTAATTTCTTCAGTGGGTTTTACAGTGAAGGTCTAGCTTCTCCATGAAAATATTCACTGATGGCGCTGATACCACTTGTTCGGGTGAGGCGTTACAGTCATTAAACACTCGATGAGATAAACGGAACCGCACTCTCTTATTATTAGATCAAATTTGTGAACCTTCTTGTTACAGCCTCGAAGATCGTTAGGGCTGGAGGGAGTAGAAAGATAGAACTTTAGAAAGACTTTTCACCAATTTTGTTCCCACACGATGAACATGCTCAAGTGAGTTGTTATGCTGAATCACATATGGAGCAAATGCTTGAACACAGTAATCTAAGTGTGATCTTGCATAGGTGTGATATAAAATTCGAAACATCTCGTCAAAGCATTTGAATACTCAGCAAAGCGACTATAATGCACCGAAACCTATGATAGCAGCAGCGTTGTATTGCTTTGCAAACCGCAGGAAAGGAAACAATGTTTTATCTAAAAGATCACTTTAGCATAAAATTAAGTACATAGGAGGCGAAAAATAGTGAATCTCGTGAGACAAAAAGCTGTCCATTAATGTGGTAGTGATCCTAGAGGCAATATATTGTAGTCAAACTTGTCTTGCCTACAACTTTATCTCAAGTCACATCTTTACATGTAGTAAGGCTAATTGCTTTCACATAGTTGGAGATTTCGACGCTTCATATATCAGTTGGTTAAAACTTACAATTTCAGTTAGATGATTTGACATCAGCCTGCAGTAAATTACTATTAAATGCGCACTAGCACAACGCGTTCACATGCCAATACGTCGTACTTTGTCTTTGTATATCGTTGTGGTGGTGTAACAGACATTCCGCTTCAACCCACACTTTGACGCCATGACCGAGTTGCATTTTACCCTCGGATTTTAACAAACAAAACGTTGTATGAATTGGCTACGTCCTGATCCGACATTAGGTTGGATGCCATTCCGGTAAAGCGTCTCTAATTACAATAAATTGATCAATCAGTAGAAATGAATTGGTTGAGGATAATTGGAGTACGTTTAGTGATAAGCTCGAGATCTAAACAGTACCGTTCATCCTTTGAACAATTGCACGTAAGCTGTCACATAATCTTCCAGGCGTACCTCCACTTGGAATTCATCTGTGAAGTGTCGTCTAGGCATAACTTTGAAGTGCGATCTGTCTTATATTTTCCGAATTATGTTGACGGTATTCTCAGGTACATCATAGTGTCGGAGAAGGTTCCATAGGGCTCTCGTATTCACGCTGTCAGGAAAGTTGACGTGTAGTGACGTGTTCCATTCAACTAACCGCTCAACAACGATCCGTTCAACGTTTTGGTTTGTGCACGACTCATCTTTTGGGAATCTAATCTGTTACTTTCGAAGCTGAGCTGCTACTGAATCTTTCATTCCGTTCAACAACTCTGTTTAAAACTATTCCTGGTATCGATAATGGTGTGATACTTCAGCAGCTTTCACAAATGTTCAGAACTCCTTTCCTTCGTATCTTGATGAGGTGTCCACTTTTCCAGTCTGTCGGTACATGTTCTTCCCCTAAATCTTTCTGAATAGAACTTGGAACATGTTTTGAAGTGCCTCTATGTCTGACTTCAGTGCTCCATTTGGTATTTTGTGTGAATATATCGCTTTCCAACTGTTCATTTGTCTGATGACCAGCCTGATTTCGCCTATCATTAGTAGAATGACAGTTATAAGATGATCTGTGTGTGCTGCTATGAAGTCCTGTGGGTTCAGTGAAGCTGATTTATCCAAGAGTTCTTAAAAATGCTTTGCCCACCTGTTTCTCTGTTCTTGAATCTCAGGGATTGTCTTACATTCTAGCCTCAATCTACTTCCCTGTATCTTCTTTGTTGCACAATATAATCCTTGCATATTTCCTCCTCTCGCAGCTTTTTCGGTTCCCGTTGCTAGGTCTTTCATGAATTTATATTTGCCGGCTGTAATGCTCTTTTTCAGTCGCTTGTTGACTCCCGTGTAAGTGGTTTTAGAGCTAAACAACTCAAGATTAATAGTTCTGTAGGTTTACGACATTGATGCTAACCTCATTAGTTTTACTGGGCGCACATAGCTGGAGGCGCTTGTTCAGACATCCAGAATTGTACGCCGTGCTACGCATTCCTTGCACTTAATAGCCAGCTCAAACAAGGCGCTTCTCAATATTTTGATAGCCTTCCAAATATGCAATCGAAACCCTTCATTTATGACTTCTGATTTAACTGAATTGGTTTAATTTGACAAGGAGGGAGGATGGCGTTGCTGACCAGCAAACATGATGGTGGGGAGATAACTTCAATCCACCAATGTCTGTAGGGCAGAACATTTTGTTTAATTACGGCTCCTTATGGTTTAGTGGGATGTCACGACCTTAAGGTATTAATGCTGATTCATCATTCAAAATACGTCATTAAATCGTGTTACGAACGTTGAATTGGTTTCACTTCCTACCCAGTAATCCTATTACAAGCAAACTAGACAATTCGATAATATACGAAGCCTACTCAAGACCCTATGATACCTTAAAAAAAATAATAATACAAAAAAATGTAAAGGGCTCCAATATCTTCGATAAAAAAAGAAAAATAGCCAATTGTATATCACAATACTGTTTTCAGCACTATATTTTATAACCACACATAATCCCATACTCTCAGTTCCTTTCTGAATCGCCTCCATTTGTCAGTTGTATATCCACTCATACCATGTTAACACTTATTTTCTTTAACCTATTAAAATGCTCCTGCTTAACAACTATCTTAATGAAAGAAAATTAGACTGAGTAATCATACCTTAAACATTCCTTCATGAATATTGGCTACTCTGCCTCTCGTCCTTTCTTTTACTTGCTCCCTCTTTCAGCTCCCTTGAGATATGTAACTGGTGACTTCATCCTGCACCATCCTTAAAGCCTTAGATATTCCAAAGGGACATGTGGTTGCCATTTCTAGAAGCTCCCACCTTCAATGGATTCATCCTTGACCATTAGTTGCACATTCGCAACGCAACTTTCATGAAGTGCGCCAACTGTGATATTGAGTAAAACCATCGACATTCATATCTTATAAATTATCAACCCAGCTGAGTAATTTACTACAGTGGATATTGTATCAATTTGATCTTGCCTGTAAACTGGCATGCCTCAGGTAACAAACTGTTATTTGAGAATAAATTATTATTATTACTATTATTATTATTATTAACTATCTTGCACGTAAAACCCTAATAATAAAACTCTTAATAACTGTGGCATCTTTATTGGTGAGCGATACGTGATCTGGTTCTCCGATTCATGGGTCTTTTCCTTGTTTGAACATCATATATCATATTTTCATCTTTTGTTTTTACTTATTGAGTCACTGTTTCCATATTTTCGGATATATTTTCTAGTCCACTGATATATTTTATCTTCATCATGTGAGAACAGACATTTAATTTACCTGTAGTCAAGAATCTTACTTCTCCTTTATCTCAACTCATGCCATTCTGGAACGACAATACCGAAGCCTAGTTCCGCCACACATAAGCTAGCATCCACGAGTACAGAGTGACATACACACGTGTACAATTCATCGCAGTAGTGAAAGCGCTACCACGCATTGTAAATGATTGTCACACCTAGTATTTTTACTAATGGTGTTCCTCAACTTCACGAATCTCTGAAGAAGACCATTCTTAAACGTGGAGACCTAACCAATTGACAAACGCTAGACCAACTTTTCAACAACATCGGGCTGCGACATGGCTCAGAAACAGAGATGCTGCTACGTATGCGAGAGTTCATCGGCCAACGGAACTTTGATTAAGACCTGCCTAGACAGTTTTTTTCGTCTTAACTTCCACAACAAGTGTAGGCATTCCTGATCTCGTTTCGAAATAACGTCACAGGCGACACGACTGCATCGGTCTACTGAATTCTGGAGAACCCTCAGCGTCAAGATTTTAATCTGTAAACAAAAAGTTTCAAACAACACAAAATGACGTTGCTGACCTCTATCATACACTGACTCGTTATCTTTA